CCCCAAAACCCCAAAACCCCAAAACCCCAAAACCCCTTAAACTAAAAATTTGGGTAAACTTGAAGTATAGTCTATGTATATTCTGCATTTTATTACAATCATGCAAAAAATAAGGCTTATGTAAAGAAAAGTACTATTTAATATAAATTTTTTAGCAATTAACTTGACATATCCTTGGAACAAGAAGAAATTGATATCTTACTTGCCTGTAGACACATCTTGTACATATAATGAGCACTAATGCAATCATACGTCCTTTCCTTCTTTGACTGAGATGATCTTTTCGTTTCCCATGGCTGAGACAACGGCGACAAGGCATTCTTTCTTTCCTTCAGTGAAGATTTCTCTAATCTTGTCAGCGACATCCTTGAGCCACTCGTCCTCTGGGAGCTTGAGATCTTCCTTGACATCACCAGCATCGTTCATGAGGGAGACGTATCCGTCATCTTCAATGTTGATAAGAGTGAATTCTTGTCTCTTCATGAGTGGGGCGTCAACGTTATCACCAGTTGAGAAAGTGCACTCGTATTTGTTTGAACTGAAGATATCAATGCCGGTAACCATAGCCTTGGCTGATCCATGCTTTCCGGTTTTGGCAGTAGAGAAGGAAACGACCTTGCAGGGGTGACCCTTGATCATAACCAAATCTCCCTTCTTGAGGGAACCAGCTGAAACCTTTTCAATACCTCCTGAACCTGCATCTCCAGTCTCGAATTGATACTCGTCGTCTTCCATTTCCTCGCTTAAGTAGTAATATTAATATATTACAATCCAATAAAATTAATTCTTATTTATTAATGAAGTTTCCAATTAAATTCCAATCAAAATTAAGCTTATTTATTTTCAAGTTAAAATGTCAATAGCGTCTCCAGTAAAATTGCCCACACAAGTTAAGGATTCATTAAATAGAAGCATAATATCAAGGAGGCCTACTTAGAATTCACCAAATAAATAAACTGTAAACTTTATGGGAGAAGTTTTAAAGAAGATTGGCGTCTATGATCTAAAAAAACTTACAGAATTAAAAAAGCATAAAAGGAATTAGTCTCAAGAAGATGAACTCGAATAAATGGTATTCTAACCTTTTTCAATAATTGCTTAATGATTTTATAGAAACTTGATGCAAATGACGTAGGATCAGGCCTTGGCTCTGTTCGCAAAACAGGTAAGTCAGATTTCTTCAATAATAATCTAATAACCTTAAAATTCATTCCTTCATGCATAAATCTTATGTTTCTTGTCATTAAAGATAATGACCTTTTTATTATTAGTGGTAATGTTTAATGATATGCCAATGATAAGCTACGATTATGAGAAACCTGGATGGCATCATGTTTACAATGGAATTTTATCTCCATTTGCTAACAAATATAAAGTCTATATTAAGACTGAGTTGAAATCTAGAGCATAGGAAAAGGAAAAATAAGACTCATATCTAGTAACATCAGATTAAGAAAGAGCAGTACTTCATTAAAAAGAAAAGTACCAAACTAGCATTATAAAGCCAGTAAAAATCATAATTTGATAATTTCAAATATTTTTAGATATCTACAGATAAAATAGAAGCTTTAATATTGAATGGAAGAAAAAAGCGTCCTCAGAAGAAAAGTCCTGCTTCAGATATCAGTAAAAAATCACTTATTGCAAAGAATAAGCACTTTACATCTTTAGTTAATTAGCCAAAAAGTGTTGATATAAATAAGATTTTTGAAGTTAACAAAAGAAAATCTAGAAAATATAAGCTAAATTATGATAAATTCATAAAATGGTCAGAGGACAATCTAGAGGCTTGCGGACGAAAAATGCCAGATATATCATAATCAAACTTTGAAAAATTATATTATAGTCGAAAAAGTGCAAAATGAGTGATTTATAGAGATAGATCTTTTGATATGGCAATTTTGAGAAAAGATTAGGAAATATCTAATTTGTAGCTAATAGATGATCATGAAATAATCAAGGAGTTATTTTCACTTTAATTGAGAGCTTTTAGAAGAAGAAGTTGCATTTGTGAATATGCTTGCAATAATGTAGGCAATAAGAAGTTACACAGATTACTTATTCAAGAGCTTTTAATTGCTAATTAGATAAAACTAATGCAGATAAGAGGATTGATAGTTGATGATTCAGATAATAAAGGAGAAGAGCATAGCATGACATAATCTCATGAGTTTAGTTCAGAGGGGGAAAGCGATGACTCAGATTCAGATATGGGAGTAATTGATGAATAAACCAATGAATAAAGTCCTGAAATTAATGCTTTGAAAAGTCATTATTCTCAGATGAGTTCATTATAAGTAGGAAAGCCTGCAGCTAATATGTAGCATAGGAAATCATTTCTAGTTTAGCATCATTAGGGAATCTTTTAACCAGATATGTCTAAATACAAGAAGTAGTCAACAAACAGAATAAGTAAGCATGAAACGACTTAATAACTTCTATAAGCAAATTTTACTAGTGCAGTTCATAGAATAAGTACTGATACGGTGCCTTATAGTTTCAAGTTAAATTAGCCAACTAAATCATTTAAAGATAACATCAGTGTAACAACCTCAAATTAAATGAAGTAAGCGAATTCTCAGAAATGTGGGCTTTAGATTGAAATAAATTAGTGTGCATTTCCAAGTAGAAACACCTTTAAACTTAAAGTTGAAAATACACTTTAGGAAACGAAATTCTTGATGCCTTCAAGGACAGGATTCAATGGCATGAACCCTAACTCTTCTAATTGTAATTCTCCAGGTCTTAATAGAATGAATTCAAATATATATAAGAAAAGATCTCTACTTAAAAAGTAAAGAAAGCAAGAATTACTTAGAAAGTAACTTGAAGAGGCTTTAAGACTAAAGAAAGAAAAACTTCTATTGCAATACAGACTAAAACTAATATAACAACATAAACCAAAGACTTTGAGTTTCTAGCCCGTGATAAATTTCCTTTCTACTCAGTCCGAGTAATAAATGGGTGAAACTACTGAGAAAAGTGATAGCAATAAAAATGAAGATGAATCTGATTTTCAGAAAATTAAGATAAAGATTATACCAGAGCAAAGTTAATCTTTATCTTCAGTAGATGAAATCAAGGATAATCAGTCTGATGATAATGTCATTAATAATAACAGATTTGATGATTAAGATACATTGCATTAATAAACGTATAGACTTAATGCAAAGCAAGTTTCAGGTAGGAAATCGTTTGTCCTCCCAAGCAGGAATTCTAAGATAAGCAAACCTGATTACGAATGCACTGTTTATAAAATCAAGAATCTAAGAGATCATCCAAAGAATCAAAACATGAGATTAAGTCTAAGAGATGTAAATAATTAAAAATTCTTGACTATTCAAGAAATGCTTTGTGATTAATAGTAGTTGAATAGCAGGAGAACATCTGAAGTTAATTATCTTTAGTAAGGAGATTAAAAAACTGTATTAAAGTTACCTTTATAATCATCAAGATAGGAGAAGAGAATTTCTCTAAATAGCCTAAATAAAAATAAAGAATTGCCAAAATAGAGCTGTCCATACTTACAACCTGTACTCAATAAAGTCCTTTCATTTGACAAATTAGAGAAACCATTTACTGCCCAACTAAATTATAGACTAGCAAATGTAAATTTACAAACTGCTTCATCAATTTCAACTTTTGTGAATTAGAAATAATAGCCAGCTTAGCCGTAGTAGTAATTATTTATGCACAAACGTACCTCATAGAATAAAAAAAGTGTACCAGCACTAACTTAATTCTAATTAAATGAGAATCACTTAGTGAAACATTAGAAGAGTACAAAAAGATTAAGTATTAAGGAGACCTTAAAGATGACTAAATCTCTTTAAAATTTTAAGCCTGCTCAATAGCTTATAGCTAGTACCAAATAGTTAGACCCCTCAGATCCATTTTCACCAGTATCTTCCATTTTATCTCATAGATCAATTAAAAATAGGGCTACATTTGCTTAATCTATTTAATTAATGAGAAATGAAAACTTTAAGCAAACCTATAAAAACCTTAATGAATGATAATCATACAAAGCTTGAAAATTATATATTTATAAAGTTACAAACATTATTTAAAAAGTCTGATTCCAATTAACTTTAGTTTGTTTCAAGTTTGGGGTTTTGGGGTTTTGGGGTTTTGGGGTTTTGGGGTTTTGGGGTTTTGGGG